ATACTCTCCTTGAATTACTGTTGTGAGAGGTTAATGAATTCGGCACTTGTGTTGTCTTTCAGATCTCTCACACATTATTCAGACATAAATAGCTGAATATTAAAGCTCCAAGGTTTGTATTATTCACAAAGGGTGTAATACAGAGAGAGACATTTATCTAAATAATCACAATGAGATCTGCAGCAACATTCCTGCAACAAGTCCTCGTTTCATTTAATGCTTCAGACGGGTGTTGACTGAATTCTACTTTGGAGGCTGTGAGGTTTGATTCGAGTAAATCTCTGAAGGTCTCTTGTGTAAAGCATCTCAGAGGAGTAAAACTGTTGCAGCTGTATATCTAAGCACAGTTTTGGAATTAAATGTGCAGCAATCAGATACAGAATTGTGTTTTGTTGGAAATTCTGCAGCACCATTTTAATTAGGAATGAATCAAACACTGCCACAGTAGCCGCGCTGCTTTCTCTGGATCATTTTGGGGGAAGCTGACTACACAGCAAGAGAGACTCGGATATTTACAACAGTGGAGCAATCGAGCCTTGTGGCATGTGGACAGATGAGTCTTCAAATGTCAGACTCTGACATTATCAAGCCTTTAGGAGCGTCTGCTATCTGTTCCTGTCAACCTGCCATCCACACACGGATCTGTGTGACGCAAGCATGAACACCGTGTTCATGTCTGCGCACTTAGGAGCTACAAGATCAAGTCCTGAAGGGAACATGATGAAAAACAAATGCGCCTTTCCTTGTGTCAGTAATAGGTTAGACTTTATTGATCCCAGCAGAGAGATCCTTATACATCAGGAACACTAATAATGGTGATGCCTCCGTTCACAATCGGCCCCTTGGTATCAAACAATTACTGTGTGAATGCTGCTATACCATCCTAACCAGGTGCCCTGATGGACACAGCCTGCCTTTGGCCACATTAATAACTCTGTGAGAGATGTTACCAAACCTCACATCGCCTCATAATGGCTTCAGGAACGTTTACAGGAACCGACTGCAGCCTTTGGAACACTAACAACCTGCTTTGGTACTACTGGCATGAGGAGGGTTATGTTTGCATCGTGAAAAACTGCAGGAATTGATTAACGTGTTTCCGGGACTGTGTGAAATACTGAATACCAAAACCAGATCTATCCATCCATCCATTATCTATACACCGCTTAATCCTCACTAGGGCGGCTTTAGTCTGTCCCAGTGAAGGCAGGGGACAGCCTGGACAGGTCACCAGTCTATCACAGGGCTACACTTAGAGACAGACAACCAAGCACACTCACATTCACACCTACGGACAATTTAGAATCACCAATTAACCTCAGCATGTTGTTGGACTGTGTGGGAGGAAGCCGGAGAACCCGGAGAGAACCCACGCTGCACGGGGGGAACATGGAGACTCCACGCAGAAAGATTCTGGGACGCGAACCGGCAACCTTCTAGCTGCGAGGCAACAGTGCTAACCACTGCACCACCTTGCAGCCCCTGAAACCTGATAACAAAATAATTAAATAAATAATAAAAACTTAAATTCATGTCCTCTGACTCTCCAAAAGTTGTCCCATGTAATATTATGTGATACTTATGATGTGGTTTATTGGGTTTTTGGCTTGTTTTTTTGGTTATCTTCATATTCAATACTCAGTTAGCTTTCGAATTTCCCCGAGGGGATGAATAAAGTTATTTGAATTGAATTGAAACACACAGTCAACATATTTAAGCTGCTCAGCGTCTAACTGCCTACAAGTTTCTCTCCGTGATTTTCAAATGGACTCAGCTTCACCTTCCTCAGTCGTTACATTTCACCTGTAAGCAAATCGTGGAATCTCTTCAGGACTTTCTTCCGCCCCTCTTTGCAGCAAAGTGGAATAATCTCAAAAGTAGCTGCAAGAATATTCTTAGTAAGCCAGTAAATCCTTGCTCATCTCTAAATAACTAAGTACTGTAAGCGTCTGGATCATTTCAATATTTGAGACGTTGCCTCCAGTGACAAAACCGTCACTGAAGAGGGAGATGTTATCAGAGCATAACTCTGATTTGTAATGCACTTCAGCACCTGTGGGATGTTTATCCCCCGAACACAGCAACACAGTTTACCTGCGAGCGGCAAATAAACAGCTTCCACCCAGCTCCCTCCGCCGTACATCAAGATGCAAAGCAACGTAACGATGCTGCCTACCCTTGTTAGAGTAACATATGGCGACCAATAAAACCTAATTGTTACAGGATAAGAGCGACTCGGTCTCGGGTTTCTACACTGTGAGCTTAAAGCTGAATGAAACCAGCCCAGTCGAGGGAATTTGTGCCAAAGATATACAGATAAAAATATGCAGGTCAAAGTCAAACAGAAGTTCGAAGCTGACGTTGAGACGGCAGCCGATGATGAAAAGGAAGAAGAATAAACGATGTGTTTGATTTAAGACTGCAGACACAGCAGAGCGAGAGGAAAATGTGTTTGCTCCAGTACTTGAACAAGCTCTAACACACAGCCACACCAATATGAAAAGACACATCTTCAAAAGCAATCTCATAAAAGAAGTTAAACTCACTCTTGTGTGCCCGACAAAATCAATTCACTGTTGAATAAACCGAATATACAACATCGAGTCAAAGAGATGTAAACTATCAACAAAAAAACTGAATCAACAGCGATCGAGAGCTTCATTGAAATACATCAGCCTCCACCTGACAGCTTGCTGGCCAGATCCTGCCGTGTTGCACATGAGGAGGAGGACCTTGGCGTTGCTGCCCTGGTTCAGGTATTCAGAGGAGAGGGTGCCGGATGGAGGTAACCTCTGACCGTCGGGTCCGGCCGTGGAGGTGTAGGGAGAGGAGGGGAGGCTGTGGTGATACCCTGAGAGGAGCAGAGGAAGCAGAAGGAGCTGTTAATACAGGCTGATGCACAAACTGTATGGAGTTGAATGAAAACCTTCACGAGCACCTGCAAAATCTGATTTTTTAATCCAAAATGAGGGAACTCAGAAGAAAGTTAGTCACAAATATGTACATAATAAGACAAATGAAGCTCCTTTAATGCACCTAAAGATTAGATATAATAACTATTCTTACATTTATGAAACTAATGAATTCAGCTGAGAACTAGATCAAGGAAGTGAGATGCTTGGAAACTGGATACGGTTTGTATTGCAGATTTAGAGGGAGGATTAAAAGGTAAAGAGTATTAGTTATCAAAAAGAAAACTACAGCTGTGACTTGATAATCCGACACTAGAAGTAAAACCTTCTTTTATGTCGGATAGCAAGGCTGTCGGATTGTCAAGACGGAGGTCGAGATACAAGGAGGGCTTGATGCTTGAAGGCTCATTTGTTGTTAATAATTGTTCATAGTTGTTATAATAACTAGTAGGGTTGGTCCCAATAGCACTTTCTGGTCTTTGGATATTCAGGCCCAATTAATGATGAATATCCGAATATTCTGAGTGGTCAGGGGGACACTTCCACCCCAGGGGAGCGCTCTGATGGGGCGGAAGTAGTCGGAACGCATGATGCTAGTTTAGGATAGTGGTCCCAGTTCTGTTACCATCCATGTTTACTTCTGTAAACACTGAGCACGCTCACTGCGTGTGACGTCGTTGTGTCCTCTTCTGTGCATGTGGGACACTTTTGGGTCGTATGAAGTTCACACAGCAGATCACATACAAGTCGTATTTAACTGGAAATGTGAACGAACTCGCAAAAAATCTGATTTCGCAAAAAAATCAGAATTGAGCATTCAGTTTGTTATTCATGCAATGTGGAGATTGTACATATCTGTTATTTTTACATTTCCAAACTTGGGTATGGTTTCGTACTGCAGATTCAGAGGGTCAATGTAAAGAATATTAGTTCACAAAAAGAAAGAACAACTAGTTCTGCGATGGCTCAAGTCCAGAAACTCAGCCGGAGACAAATTTGCTGGCAGAAAGCTGGCGGTGGTGCGCTTTTTTTTTTCCCCCCCAGCACCTCGTCTCTAAAAGCACTGCTCACCTTAAAAGCTTATTCTATCAAGCGGGCGGCACTGAAATGGACCGGGGTTACAAAACCGCTCTGGGTGCCAGAATGAAAAACCGCTATGCACGCTATCAGCTAATGTGACATGTTTACACTTTTTAAAAAACACATTTTCTAAAGAAACGTCCATTACGGTAGAATTGCCCTTTGATTCTTATTTACCCCGAGGAGCCGTAAAAAGAATCGCATCTGCAAAGCGCGCACACATACTTGCACACAACAAAAGCCCCGCTGCTGTGATTAATAGTGAGTAATAACTGAGGGGGATACAGAAGGCACAACCTCTTGTCTCCCAGGAAACATAAACTTTGACATTATCAGAGGATTTAATTAAACAATGCTTGTTTGATCCCAACCGTGCAATTAATCACTGCCAACCTTCCAACGTCACACACACACACACGCTCAAAAGAAACCTAAACACACGGAGGAAAGCGAGCGTGAAAAGATGTAAAGCTTAAATGTTTTGCCTGCATAAAAGCCAGCAGAGAGATTAATAAGGCACACACAAAGGGTTGAGTGAAAGAATTTCATTTGACAGAAAAGGCTACAATTTCAGGGAGTAGATATCTTTTTTTGTTATAAATGGTATCTGAAAAGAATGAAAGCGCTGACTGCTAAAGGAAGTTTGGAGAATTAAAAAAGCTGTGACTAAACTGATACCCAGTCCTGTGTAGATGCTTCTCCTTCTTCTTATTTATACACGCAGGTTTCAAACGCTGCTCTTTAAATGGGGAATTCAGCTCATGTCTCTTTCTCTTGCTCTCTTCTGCCTCTGTTCTCTCTGTAGCCTTATTTAAGTCTCACTTTTTCCACTCCGGAGACTTAGAAGTAAATGGCGTCTCCACAGTTTCAGCTCAGTTTTGTTTCAACCGAAACCGTTCCTGCTCTCGATTAGTTTGCTTGAGATAAGATAAGATAGTGTTCACTGACTCCTTAACCGGGGAAAAGTTACAGCAGTTAGATGCAAACGAAGCACACTAAGAAAAGATGTAGACCTTTAACATGCACAGATAAGGCAGAACACATAGAACACATATGGGGTGTAGAATTTTAATTAAGACGTTATAAAGACTAGCGGCGGCAGTTTGTTATTCCACCTGATGTATGTATGGAGTAGAATGATGATGTATGTATACAGAGAAAAACTGTGTTTGCATTTGAAGGGTTATAAGAATAATTAAACAATTCTAACATATTTAAATTCATGGTGCAGCCATCTACAGTATGCAACAATGACGACAATGTAAAAATAACATGCATCCTTGAGTCCAGCGGTTCTTTGGTCCTTAATCAAGAGATGGGACACCACCAAGAGGTTGCACGATAGACCAAAGAGGTTCCAAGATGTTTACTCAGATAAAGACGAAGAAAATATCCATCCATCCATCCATCCATCCATCCATCCATCCATCCATCCATCCATCCATCCATCCATCCATCGCTTAATCCTCACTAGGGTCGTGAGGGGTTGGAGTCTATCCCAGCTGACTTAGGGTAAAGGCAGGGGACATAGTGGACAGGTCACCAGTCTATCACCAATTCACCAATTAACCTCAACATGTTTTAGGACTGTGGGAGGAAGCTTGAGAAACCGGAGAGAACCCACGCTGCACGGGGAGAACATGCAAACTCCACGCAGAAAGATCCCGGGTGCCCCCATCGGGACGCGAACTGGCAACCTTCTTGCTCCGAGGCGACGGTGCTAGCCACCGCTCCACCTTGTAGCCCATGAAGAAAATATGCTGCACAACATTGCATATATTTACTCAGAGTTTTTCTCGGCTAAATGTTCACTATTTCAGGCCACAGGATGACGATCTCCCAGTGTTATATTTTTAACAATCTTAATTTGACACATGATCCGCTTGTCAGAGGAACGGTACGGATCGCTTTATTAAACACATAAATAACAGTCACGTCCATGTTTTCCTTCTACATTGAACTAAGCAAAAAAACAACACGACAGGCTGTAACGCAATCAAAGTGACACACATTGGAAGCATTACGCATCTCGAAGGTGCAACCAGAACACAGTCAACATCCTGAAAGTAGCATCAAGGTGGCAGAGATGTGAATCACTACTTCTGTCAGCATCCAGGCAACCATATGCACAGCGACTCATGGGATCACACAAACTCAACCGAATGTGTGGGAAGAAATGTGATTCAAGTCATGGATGGAGGTTTTGGACCCTAAAAAAACATCCTCCTCTACCCTTGATATCAGTCACTCATATGTGACTGAAGTGATCACGCAACAAGAGACAATGCTTGAAAAAATTGGCACCTAAAGCTCCAAAAAACAGCAAAAAGAGCAAAACATATATATCGGTTTTCAGCCCAATCTGATGGCAGATCTTTCCTTACACTTGTTCTCTCTCAGCAACCAGGATTCCGGCGAGTAATTTTATAACCAGGGAGTAATATGTCGTGTGTGGCGAGCGGCGTGATTTCACCCACATGTCCCGGGCGTGCTGGGAAAACCTCCTGCCAGACTCTCATTCTCACACCCTGCATCCCAGAGAGGGGACGGAGGAGATCCACGGGCGGAGGAAGGTGTTAGTGGGGTGGAGGAGCGAGAGGAGCAGAATGGAGAGAAAAGAGGAGCCAAGAAAGAGCAGCGCTACCTAATTTTATAGGAGCAACTCTCACGGCGAAGACGGTGACTGAGTGGCACTTTGAAGGTCCTCTTAGAAACGCACTGATTCAGTTTGCATGATACTGAACCATGTGTGTTGTTGTAACAATGTCATGGTCGCTGCAGGATTTCCTTTGTAATCTGGTATTTGTAATTAAAAGATAAACATTGCAACTGAGGGAGAAGGAGACAGAGATAGAGAAAGGGGGATTGTGAGGAGAGAAATAAACAAGAGAACTAGAAATGGCTCTTGAGGTTTGGTCGTGGTGTGTATGGCAACATTAATTAAACAGCTCGGTCCAGCCGAAGACGACACGCCGCCGCCGCCTCCTCCGGCGCTCGCTCTCCCCTTCTCTCTCTCTCCATCCCACGTTTCTTTCTTTTGTCTTATCTTACGCTCTCCTCTCTCTCTCCCTTGTACTCTATTTATCAGCGCCACTATCTACTTTCTCTTTCTTTTCCTGCAACTCTCCATTATCTGACCACGAGGGATAAATCGGCTTCACACAAGCGGTCAGGTAATGAGAGTAGAAAATAAAATCGGACTAATAATTACTAGAACACAACAGTATTGATGGGGGCTGTTGGATAGGTGGAGGAGAGGAGGACACATCATGTTAAATCACCTACAACATTATGGGTTAAATGTGTAACACTGATCATCTAGTTATCATCTAATGTCCTGCTGGTGTCCTGGAAATCATGTGGATGTTACTTTGACATGCAGCAGAAACCTAAACATGGCTCCAGACCAAGAAAACCTACAGAAACTTGCACCCCCCTCCAACAGGACAATGCACCCAGAAATGGCTCGAAGACCAAGAGCAAGAGCCTGAATGTTGAGCCAGCCTCCAAACTCCCCAGATCCCAACCAGACTATATAAAAGATGGACGTAGCTACCGTGACGTCACCCGTTGGTTTCTGCACTGAGAAAATGAAGCCAGGGTTTTGCTACTTCCTGGTTGACATCTTGGATTTTTGGAGGCAAAAATCGTCGGAGGGGGGCGGAGCCATAGGAGCAGTGATTGGTCAGACGGATCGAGAGGCGGGCCCTCTCTGCCCCACCCACATTTACCGCCTTCTGCTCGCTTCGTCTGTATGGTCGCTGCCGACTGTCAATCAAGCCAGCCACGCCCCTTGCCCCGCAAAATGTTGATGATTTTTTAAAAATTCTGTATTGATTTATTTTCAGATTGGCCACCT